TCAAAGTTCAACCTGGAAGACAGGAAAGAACATTGCCTGAGTTTTTGGGTTTGTTTTTAAAATGTATTGAATGATCCTTTCCAAAAAAGTTCCTTGTTTCATATCTTCATGTCAGAAACAGGAGAGGAAATCCTCACCACAAGAGGGAGCTGGACAATGAAGAAATTCATGGATTGTTTTGTAAATAAAAGTAAAAGATGGGAGAGTGCAGGTGATTTACAGTAAGACCATCAGTATTAGCAGTGGTGACATTAATTTTTACTAAGTAATTACTCCATTCTTTTAGTTGCTCAGATGAAAAATCAGAGTTTGTCCTTGATTCCTACTTCCTAATGTATGAAGCATGTCTTTTTATTTTTATAAAAAGCCAAACCAGAGTCCATACCTGCAACCACTTCCTTTATGGATCGCTTACTCTCTGTGTGACTATCACTCAGGGCCAGGTATCAGACAACTAAAGACAGCCTCTGTAGCCAGAGCACATGAAATTATTCAAGTTAGCCAATCCTAAACTTGCTTATCCTGCCTCCCTGTTACTTCCTGCAGAAACCACAGTAAAGGCTCTTCCCACATTTTCCCCTTGATCCTTCTACCTCCTAATTGACTCTGGTGCTCCCCTGGGTGCCCGCCTTCCCCATAGCATGGCATGCCCCCTCTTATTGGGAATTGTGAGTAACTGTCTTTTCAATGGCACTTGTCTCTTGATCTGTTGGCCTCACCATATCTGAATAATAATAAAATCTACAATTTAAATTGCCTAACCCCACATCTCAGCAAATTCTATTCTCTCTGCCTTTATGATACATCCCAAATTCAACAACTTCTCACCATGGCCCCCTTTGTCCCACCCACCATCATCATGAGCTCTCTCCTTCCCCAAGTCCGCCACTTGCACTCCAGTTATTCTCAATGCAATAGCCAGAGTGATCCTGCTACACACCTAAGGAAGCTCTGTCACTCTTCTGTCCACATCCATCGAATTAAAGGGCTAATAGCAATTACAACTTTAAAAGCATTTTTGGAATCTGCAGTAAACTAAGTTTTTTTTCTTGTTTTTTTTTGCGGGGGGGGGGGTTGCTTGATTGGTTGGCTTCCTATTGCCTTCTGAGTTGAAAACAAAGTCCTTAACATGTTTTTCAGACCCTGGAAGAATCTGATTCTCTGCTGTTCCTCTGAGCACATCCCCAACCCTCCTTCCTCACCAGCTGCCCCAGCCTCTCTGTGTTCCTCGGACATTGCACGCATACCCCCCTCAGGCCTTGGCTCCTTGCTGCCCTTCGTCAGCCTGGGATCTTTCCCCAGAGTCCCCTCCCTCAGGAAGTGAGGGCTTTCCCAACCTCCAAAAAAAAAAAAAGCACCCCTCCTGCCCCTGCACCCCTCTCCCCATGCTGCTCCCTCCCCTTTATTTGTCCCCTACACTTACCCTGGCACACGCAGTCATTTACAAGCTTGTATAGTCAGTTTCTCCCATTAGAATGTAAGCTCCATAAGGGCAGGGACTTTGTTTGTATTCACTGCTGATTTGTTAATGCCTGGAAGAGTGACTGCTGTGTGGTAAAACTTAAGAAACATGTGCTGAATGGATGAAAAACCTAGAACATGGTTTCAAAAAAATAAAAAGATGCCCTCGCTCAGTCACGCTCACATCAGATACTTAGAGAGTGCTTTGTATGCATCCAGTAGGATACATTTGCTGATCCTCAAAAGCCTGTCATTCAAGAGGGGAACAGCTAGATGTTTCACTCATTAAACAATTGAGAACCTGTGGTATTAGCCTGGCATGGCCTGTCACTGTCCATCCATGTGGGGCAGAGAAGGGGAACCACTGAGGGCAGATCTTTAGCAGTCATGCCAGGCTTTCTGGGGCAGGGGCTCTCACTGGGGGCTTCTTGGAAGGAAGCAGGCTTTGGCTATGCCTGGAAAGGTGGCATCCCAGAGAGGAAGGGACAAAGTTAGTGAGTCCACTTCATGGGTCAAACACTCAGTCTTTTTTTTTTTCCCAAGTATCATTATTAGTTTATTTTTACAAATGAGGAAACTGAGGCACAAAGAAGTTATGTCACACAGTTAGAAAATGGCAGAACCAGGATTTCAACCTAAGGTGATTACCGAAGTTTTCTGAACCAGTACAATCTACCGACTCCCATGTATTCACTCTACAAGCACTTACTGAGTGCTTACTATGTGCCACTTACTGAGTGATCAGCACAGATTAAGGATGTATTAGTGAACGAAACAGAATAAAATCTCTGTCCATTCTAGAGGGAGGAGACAGACAATTAACAACAAGCGTAATGGATAACTAAATTCTGTAGTATGTTAGAAGGCAATAAGTGGTATGATGAAAAATGAAGTGGATGCCGGGGGGAGGAGAATGTTGGAATTTAAGTGGAGTGGTCACTGAAGTCTTCCTTTTGGCAAGGGCTTATAGGAGGCAAGAGAAGGCACCGTGTGGACATCTGGGAAAAAGACGTGCCTAGGCCCTGAGAGGGGAGCCAGCCTGGCACTTCTTTTTTTTTTGTCCTTTTTGAGACCGGCCACACCGCGCTCAGCCAGTGAGCACTGTGAGCGCACCAGTCATCCCTATATAGGATCCGAACCCGCGGCGGGAGTGCTGCTGCGCTCCCAGCGCCGCACTCTCCCGAGTGCGCCACAGGCTCGGCCCCAGTCTGGCACTTCTAAAAATGACAGGAGGTGAGTGGCTGGAGTGGAAGGAAGAGGGAGTAGGACATGTGAACAGTCTTCTAAACCTCAAGCAACCCTGTGCAGCAGGGTTTTTCCATATTTGCTCAAGGTGTAGACAGTGGCATAGCTGAGTGAAACCAGTCGGACTCCAGATCCCATGTCCTTTCTACTGCAAAACCCTCTCTGGTGCCACCACAGAGAGGTGGGAGGAGTGAAACCTCATCACTGAGGATTCTTTGTGTAGTGGAGGCAAGGCATGTGAAAGAAGGCAAGGGACTGAGAAGCTGTGACTGCAGCCCAGGCAGGCAGAGGGTGTGGAAGTTCTGGACCAGGACAGAAATGGCTGAGAATAAAGTTTTAGGAAGTGGGTCTGTGTGTTGCATGGATTGGACCAAGGAGGGACTGTGGTCAGGGAGATCAGTTGATTGGTTGGCTCAGGGAATGATCAAGGGAAAGGAAGACTAAGGCTATTGAAGGATGGCCTTAGCCTGTGGAGAGCACGAAGGAGCTAAGGGCAGGGGAGAGGAGCACCCATGAGTGTGGTTAGGAGAGCAGCCTGGAGCCCAGCCACCTGGCTTCATCCTCTGCCTCTACCACTCCCAGCCCAGTGCCCATGATATTTAATATCTCTGTGCCTCAGTTTGTCTTTCTGTAAAATGGAGCGATAACAGTACCTATATCGTGTGGTTGTCAAGAAGATCAAATGAGTAATATGAAACATTTAAAACTGTCTCATAAACTCTAGATAAATGTACCTTTGTTGAACCGCCTCCACAGCCGCCACTGGCAAATTTTCTTTTTTTTTTTTTCCTTTTTGTCTTTTTTACTGACTGGTAACGGGATCGCAACCCTCAATGTTGCGCCCGCACCGCGCTCAGCCAGTGAGCAGGAACCGGTCTCCACATGGGATCCGAACCCTCAGCGGGAGCGCCACCCAGGGTCACGCGACACTTGATCTTATGTGAAATAGTAAACCTTTTTCACTATTGAATCCATATTGAGCTGGGTTATGTTTCTTGAAGCTGGAAGCATTCTGATACTTGCAGAAATAAAAATTTCATAGCTATCTAGATGGATTCATTATTCCTTTTCTATGTACACTATAATTGAAGCTCTAGATTCAAAACCCTGGCTTTTGGTTTTTATGAAGAAATAAAATTTTAGGAGAAACACATTTACCAGGGGAGTTAGCATTATCTTCTTATATGAAAGGTAATAGTTGTTTTCTGAAATACTTTTGGGGCAAAACCTTATTGAACAACCCCAGATGAGTCAGATGCTGAGTTAAAAGATGACTGCTGAAATAATTTCATATTTAATACGAACTAGCAGGCTGAATGATTCAGAATATTCAAACCCAAAAGCAGATATTTGTAAGAAGCTTACGTGGGATGATTACTGAGAATAACATAATTTGGTCTTGATCTTCTTCATATTACCTTATTCTATAAACAAACAACCTTGGGTGCACACCAATCATTTTAACCCATAAAAGTTGTCTGATCCTTCACTTTGAGAGTTTAGCTTCTTAGACTCACCTCAGTTTGTATTAAACTTTTGATCCCACACCTATGTCCCCCACAAGGAGGAAGAATATTAATACTATGGTCTGATCCATGTTAGTGGGTGAAACCCTGCCTTAAAGATCCAGCATATGGGGCCGAGCCCGTGGCGCACTCGGGACAGTGCGGCGCTGGGAGCGCAGCAGTGCTCCCGCTGCGGGTTCGGATCCTATATAGGGATGACCGGTGCGCTCACAGCGCTCACTGGCTGAGCGCAGTGCGGCCGGTCTCAAACAGGACCAAAAAAAAAAAAGAAAGATCCAGCATATGGATCTTTAATGTTGTAGGGGAGGGTTTGGGAATGCTGACTGTGATTTGAGTAGGAATAAGAGATTCCTGCATTTCTGAGCTCCAACTCATCTTAAGATCACCAAAATCTACCATAACAAAGTTTCTATATCTTCTTTAAACCATGAGTTGAAGATTTCTGTTTTTCAGATATTTTCCCTGATCATCTCATTTGCACTCAATTCCCTTAACATTTATGTATTCAATCAGACACTTTCAGTTGACATGGGTAATTGTTCATGGGTGTATGCGGAGTTAAACAAATACATACCAACCTCCTAAACTTACTATACTCCTCAGCTCTTACTGTAATGCTTTGAAAATGGTAAATGGCTAATAATATTTTTAAACAACTTAAAATGTAAAGTTTGCTTAGTAATTTAAATATACAGGTAGACATGTCATTAAAAAAAAACGTTATGGTACTGCTTTTCTGTCATAGAAAACCAAAGAAAGAAGATGACAAATGATTGTATATTTTGTTTAATACTTGCATTGTTCCTATAGCGTAATTATAGCAATCTTTAAATTTACTTTTCATTACAAATATTTGTCAAGTTTTGTTTCAGAAACATTTTTCCTACTCTCTTGCACATGCACCCAGACACACTACAAAAAAACTCATTCATAACACAGTAAGGGCAAACGTTATTCATGTAAACATCTTTCATTAATTTCCCATAATTTAAAAAAATCATAGAATTATAGATATTGAATAAGGCTCATAGATTAAGTTCAAATTCCACAAAAGACCAAAAGATGCTCATTAACTTTGATGGGGTTAACTTTTGGTTGCAATAAATGCTGAAAGCAACCCCCTGGCTTCTACTCCTTAAACATACCTCACAACCTAATAAATGCATTTTAGGATAAAAAGAGAACATAGAAAACCCAGGAGGAAAAACTTTTGAAGTAGGGAGCTCAGAATCATGGTCATAACTTTCTTATATGGTAAGCAGGCATTACATAGTCCCTGTAGTTTCCTAATACATGAATCAAGATTAATTATAGTAACCCAAAATATAACCAAGTAGCTATGTTAAGATACATTGGCATGTGTGTTCATATTGCTAGTATACACAGTGAAAATTTGTCATAATATTTTTTCATTTCATTATATATCCAGGACCAAAGTTAAAAAAATAAAACCCAAAAAACCACTCAAGTTGAATATCCTTATAAAGGAGTTTTTTCAATAACATAAGAGTCAGGAGAGTTGGGAGGTATGTCCTAGGGACACGACTGGTCTTGATATTAAAGCGACTTCTAACAACTGTGTGTCAAGTCACAGAGGAAGCAAGGATTTTCATTATCCGAAGACGTCTCTCTCTCTGGTTGGAAGTTTGGTGCTGGGGTGCATAGTCTTTTCCAGAGCTGAGACAGGAAATGCACTGTGCTGAGAAATGGGCCCCTTGCCAACTGCTCCCTCCTGCCTTCCTCTCTCGAGGTGGAGATCAGAAGGCAGAGGTTGCTGGCAAAACCGTGAAGTCCCACCCTGGGGTCTGAACCCCAACTCCACTGAGGGCAGCCTCCCTGACAGGTGTGACTAGGCAGTAAGGGTGGCGGTTGATGGTGGCCAGGGAACCCAGTTCTGAGGTTCCCATGGCCAAGTCTGGCTTCTAATTCTGCTGCCCTGCAAAGAAATTGTGCTCCAGGTAACTGCACCGGTGTCTCTAATGCCTCTGATTCACTCTTGGGCTCCTGAGAGGCCCGTAGTGATATCACTAAAAGGTGAACACACCTCTGTTAGCACCTAACTTACCACCAGGAAGCGGCTGAGGCACTGGGGAAGCCTACGATCTCTCTCCACATCAGATGCAACTACGCAGGGAAAGTTGCCATGAGTCAGAGTCATCTGTAGGCTTTTGATTTTTAAAAATTAAAATTGACCTGCATTACATCTCAATAGACTCAGATAATTCTCACCAAAATTTCTGTGATGTGTTTAAATAGCACTGGAATAATTCAACTTCATTTAAATAGATTCATTCTACCATGAAAATATTTCATACAAACATCTATTTACATACAAACACATTAAAATTTGTGAAAAGGGTTTCCACCCCATGGTTGTATGGCTTGAGATAGTTTCATTGCTTTGAATATGTATGCACACATTTGGCAAAAGAAAATATTAAAATTTAGTATTTTAAAAATAAAGTGACACCGAGGCTCCAAATTCCTGAAGGGAAGAATCAAAAGAACAACCTATCAAGGTTCCTCGAGTGGACGTAATTTAATATATTTTGTGAACCTTTGATCTGTGGCAAATAAATAATACATACAACTACCAGTCCTGCAACAGTTTTGCTTGTTTTTCTAAAACAATAGATGTCTGGATTCTAAATCACTACTCTTAAGACAGAAACTTGAGGCAACTGTTTTAAAACAAAGCAAAACAAATTCTACCTCTACCTTCTTGGAAGATTTTAAATGCATTTTGCAGTGAGTGATTTAAATATTTATTTATTAAATGAAAGTTACTAAAAGTGCCACATAACTGTCTCACTGAGAAGACAACCCTTTAATTCACTGTTCACAATTGATGCAATTTTAAGTTACAATTAAATGTTGCAAATGGTTACATTTGGCCTCATTGGCCTTTTCGGGTTGTTGGTGATAAGGAAATAGTTTTTCAAGTGTGAAGAGCCCCCATAGGTCAAATATGTTTCACTATAGTCTCCCAGACAGGTTCAAAGAGGTCTTGAAAAACTAATTTCCTTCTTAGTTTCTCAGGGAGATCAGGGATGAAGCAGGTTAAAATAAGAATAGGTACTGCAAAACTCAAGTCCTCCTCTCCTGCTGCTATTTAATCTCATCATTCCTTTGTGTCAGATACTCAGTCCTTCCGGTTGTTTTTGTTAGTCCTTTCAAATGTCCATTTGGGGACATGCTCCAACAGATTAGTTCGTATTCCTAATTCTAACACAAGATAATATGTTGTCATAGAAAAGATGCTAAGGAAAGATCTAGTCATGCAGGAGCTGGACTGAGACAGCTCTGAGTGACCTGCTCGAGGCCAGGGTGTCGTGCACACGCAGGGCTCCAGCTGGTTCTCGGGAGAGCAAAAAGCTATTTCTTTATTCCCCACCACATGGAATCTTCCACATTTCTGTGGTGATTATGATGCTGATGAAATGACCAGATTCAGCTTCTTCCTAACATAGTTCCTTCCACAGTGGATGTAAGGTAGAAAAATACATTCTAAGGCTTTTCCACTTGCACTTTGGTGCACACAAGGAACAAACCCTTACTTCCTCAACAGTTAATTGCTAGGGGATCCTCAAGCCCCTTGACTTCTTTCCCTATGTACAGAACACAGCCAATCTCAAGCCCCTCTCCAATTCCAACCTGGGACAAAGCCTTACATTTGGGAATGTGTGTGTGTGAGGGGAGAGGTGGTGGGGGAGCAGGCGACACAGAGCCAGACAAAGACATGAGCAAACGGAGAGAGGCATACACAGAGGGCAAGACATAGGTGGGGAGGGTCCGATAGGTGCCCACAGAGAGCCAGAGGGAGAGACTTGCAAGAAAGGACAGCAGCTCAGAACATGGAGACTTCAGAGCTGGACAGACTGGCTGGGGCTGTGGGTACACATGGACACCCAGGCATTTTTGCACATGTAGAGAAAGGAGGAAGAGATATGGCAGGAGAAAGAAGAGACTGAAGACACAGGAAGTAGGAAGAGACTTAGGGAGAAAGACAGGCTCAGCTTGGGTGTGTTGCTTCCTCTGAGAATCGGAAGGTCACAGACACTGCTGGGTTTTATGCTCATAATGTTATCATTCGATATCTAATTTGAAGAACTGATTAGCTGGTTAATCACCACTTACACCTCTTCTATCCTTTTTTATCCAAAACATTTTTTAAAAATTGTATTTGAATGGGTTAATTAGAGCAGGATAATTCCTTAGGACCGAACTTCTACTCCACTGTAGCCATGACCAGGACAGTATCACCCTCAGTAATGAAAATCGTTCAGAGCATAGCACATCGGGGGTGTAACCTGCTATCTGCTGCCTGGCCTCACTTCCTGGCCTGGCTCCACAATCCAACTGACTGCGGGTCATGAAGACACTCACCTTGGGATACATTTAAACTAAAGCACCTATCAGAATAAAAGTCCGGAGATCCCGCCATCTGTCACAGTTTACAGAGTGGTCTCTTTCTACAGAATAGAAGTGATCCTATCCAGGTGCCTTTTTTCTAAAAAAACTCTATTCAGTTCCTTTTGTGGGAGATCTTTCTGGAAGTCCCGAAAACTTCCTCTCATGTGTGAACCATCAGTTTAAGCTTTCAAACAAAGATTTAACTGGACCTCCCTGAAACCATAGCCACGGAGCAGCCAGGTGCTCCATGAAGCCATGCCTTGCAAAGAGGGAAGGGTGGCTCTGCCATGGTCTTGAGGGCTGAATCCTGTGCCCAGGGGGCGCCTGATCTGAAAGTTCTGAGCAACCCTGGATCGAGCACTTTTGAAGTCTTTGCAAGAGCAGTGTGTAACTGACAAGAAATAGCAAACTTCCTTCTGCCCATTTCCTTATTTTTCTCTCCCTCCCAGCAAGCCTCTAATCAGCCAGAGCTCATGCTCTGTTACAGCTTAGAAGGCTTTAGCTTTCAAGACCAAACAGGTGCCACTGCTCACAGCTGCAGGTCAGAGCGACTGCTGCTCTCCAGACCTTCTGGCTACCTCATCAAGATGGCGAAAGAAGACATGGCTATTGCATGTGGTGAGGATGCTTATAAAAAACCAAAACTCTCAGGACTCACTCAGAGCAATCCCAGTTATGTTACAAATCTAATTAATCTAAACTAAAAAATGGGTTTTCTCCTTATTTCTGCAGTTGTGATTACATATGGCTTGCAATACGGCTGAAATGCTGTTGATATTGTTGCTTTAAAACTATACAGGTGTTAACTCAGTTTACAGTGCTTTGAAGCAGGCAAGTGCTTTGAAATTACAATGATGAAGAGATTTAGCGTTAATGTTTGATTTGTATCTAGTGATCGGTGTGACTGCCTTAATAGTATTGATTTAAAAAAAAATTCTGAATTCTGTTAGAATTCATTTGCTATTTGACTTTTGAATTCAATGCGCTGTGCTACAAGCCAGACTGCACTATGTACATGTAATGTGTACCCAAGGAGAAAAAATTACTAACACTATTGAAGATATTGCAAAATTGCCACAGTTACTGCTTAGAAATACTAATTTTCCTCTCTTCTTTCTTAAAGTATATATTACAACTCTTCCATAACTTAATGCAAAGTAAATTCATTTCTTCTCACATCTTAAAGCAAAGATATCTTTGTTTCCATGCGAGAATAATAAATCTATAATAATACCCCGGCCTATGAGCCAGTACTTTATATTAGGACATATAATGAAATAATGATATAGAAAGAACCAGAGAGACCTACACATTGCCACTGATGCAAAATCCATTTGGAATTTTTCTCTTGTAAAGGATATCTAAGACAGGGAATAGGACTGAGGGGAAAAATGGCTCAAAAAGTGGGCTTCTGTTCACTAACAGAAAAAAGAAAGCCATTCTATTGCAAGATACAGATCAAAGGTTAAAAGGCAAATTATACTACATTTAGAGAATAAAGATGTAGTAATTCTCTACCCTTGATATGGCACAGATGCAAGTGTGATAACACAGTTCGCACTGGCCATAGGAAAAAAACCACCATGGAAAAACCACTGACTAAAAATGACTGAAAAACCCCATTTCCCTTTTTCAGTCTAATCATTTGGCATCTCTGAGTGTGGTTCAAATTTAGACTTGAACCACCAAAGAATATCATGCTGTCTTATGTCAAATGCTCGACACTACCTCTCAGTAGGACGTTGTTGCAAGGCTAGCTAATTTTAAATCTGGTATGAGTAATACAGTCAAACCTAGTTAGTATGCAAGAAAGTCGTTGCTAACGCAGGGTGAGAGGATGTGATGTCACAGCATGAGCAGTCCCTGGTTGTCCCGTTGCCGGATAAACGTAGTGCATAGATCCAAATTTCTATTCCAGGTCTCTGAAGCCCAGGGCTGGGCCTTCACTTCTGCTGGGTGGCTTGAAAGGCCTTCAGCTCCACCTGGTACCACTCAGGCGCTTCAGGCCCACTCTTCCCCGGGGGGCTGTGGTCATAGCCGTAGGCAACGGTGAGCTCTTCATTGGCCTCCACAGCTTGCAGGGTGCGGATGCATTTGATAGGCCCAAAACGGGGGTGGACAAACCTAGACATCAAGATGCACACAGTCATTTCTGGGCCAGACCAGGAAGTCAGAAGCACAGGCTAGCAAAGGGGCTGCTGCAGGAATCACCCCTGTGTGCTTTTCCCCTTCCCTGGACACCACTGGCAGCTACCCAAGGTGTGGTCCACAGATCAGCCAGCATCAGCTTCACCTGGGAGCTTGTCAGACAGGTAGCATTTCAGCCCCTCAACCCACTCCCAAGGCCTGCTGGGTTGGAATCTGCATTTTAACAACACCTCCAGGTGACTTACTGCCATATTAAAGTTTGAAAAGCACTGCTCTACATTCCTTTTTGAGCATATTTGGTAGTTTGTATTTACGAACCAACAATCACAGTCAACACCAAAAACATGTCCTTAATGAGAAATCAGATCCAGTGCAGCCTGTCAGCATTTCAGCTCATCTGGCTGGTAGCATCAGATTACCTGGCTGTACCAGAGTACTTTTGGAGTTGTAACAAAGAGCCCCATGCATTTTCAAAAGCAGAGAATTCTGTATTCCACCCAATAAATATAAATGGAGTATTATTTTCTAGCATAAAAGTAGATAAAGATGTTTTTCCAGGAGGGAAGTCTAGACCTCTCTGCCAGTCTGCTTCTTTAATATTTCCCTGCAAAGCCTCCTGTGAAGGGAGCACTATCTCATCCCTGTGACAAGTCCTCTCAGAACCAGAGTGGGGTTAATGCTGTGACTATGTTCATTTGCCAAAGGCCCCCGACCCCATTCACCTGCGGGGAATTCCCTGCAGAACAGACAGATAAATAAATGATAGACTTAGCTCACCTCATGGCTGCTGAAATGGATATATATAAGGGATGGCCAGAAGGAAATCAGCTCTCTTTTTATATGCATCTAGTCGAAACAATCTCATTCATTTATAGCTGCATTTTGAACAAATGGCAGGTGAGACACTGAAGGAGAAGGTTCCAGGCCCTACGTTAGACTGACATGTGGAGCATGATAGTACTTGGCTGGTTCCATCTATGGGTGGTGGAGAAAGGGGAGTGACTATGGTGCTGTGACATCTTTTATGTGGAGTACAAAAGAACAACCTGTACCTCACACCAAAGGGTTCTCTATGTCTACCTACCTGGGGATCATGTTTTGTGGAAAGGACACAATGTGGGATCAGAAGATTTTGGTGTGAGTCCTGATTCCATACATTATTACTGCCTCCTCTTGGAAAGCCCACCTCGTATTTCTGAATCTCACTTTCCTCGTCTGTAAAATCGTGATGATACTAGTAATACTTATCCTACAGGATCTTTGTGGTGACAAAATGGAGTCACATATAGAAAGTACCTCACACAGTGCCTGGCACAAAGTGAGAACTCAACTAATATTGGTTACTACGTATGCGAGAGAGTATGCATGCGTGTGTGTGTGTGAGCATGTGTGAGTGTGCAAGTCCACAGAATTATCAGATTCTGCACCATTGGAAAGGAGATGCCTGGACCAGGCATTCAGGAATTCCTTATTAAAATCACAACTCTTCGTTTCAATTAAAATATTTCATTAAAAAAAAATACTCCTGAAGTGAAGCTCTGGTTAATCTTTTGGTACACTGAAAAAAATCCTGTGTAGAATTTCTGGCCTAAAACTTCTCTTATGATCCTCTTGTATTTTCATTTTCTTGTTCATTATTGTTATTTTCAGAGAGTAGAAAATAGACTGAAAAGAGA